AAAAGCTCACAGTCACAAATAAAAGAAAGCCTAAAAATCAGAAAACAAGTTTTATCACTACTTCATTTTAGTTTCTCGCTTACTGCACATGTTCATGGAAACACAGTGCTGCTGTATAAAGGAATAAAGGAATGTGATGTTGGCTGGTCATCTCACTCATTCGAGTGTCAGTCAGTCCACTAGGAGGCATCCTGAGTCAACATTCAGGCATTAGTTGATGTTTAGGGGCAAAATACTTCATGGACTCAGAAGAGAGCTGAAGGGAAGATAATTTCACCAATCTATGAGATATAAAAGTGGCAGAATGTCTTATCTGGTTTATTTTCTTTTTGTTTGTGAGTTGTTCACTGTGGATATTTTAATTTCCTCCCCACATGCAAACAGCATTATATATCCTGGATGCCATACCTGAGCATGGCCTGCATCTTCACATACATTCTCAGCTTTGGCATGGGACCAGGTCAGTGTAACATTGTTATCAGGATTTTACACCAGAAAGACTCACTCACAAAAATGTCTCAAGATAAATCGTGAAATGAAAATAAACGCAGTCAAGAGTGACCAGTTTAATCTTGAACTTAATATGTACACAATTAATTCCATTCTTCGCATTTTGGTGACTTATATCAACACAATCATGACTGTTTCTCATTCCTCACCAAGTACTAATGCTACAGTAAACTATTTAAATTCTAAATATAACTAAATGCCAAATATATCACAAGCTAACAGAAACTTGGACGCTGAAGGTCATTTAGCATCTAAATGAGCTGTAAACGCAACTGTTCCCTGCCCATCACAACAGCTGTTTCCATTTACATAAAAACTCAAACTGGCTCCTCTGTGCACATTTCAGGTAACATAGAGCAATACCTCAATACTACTAGGAATCATTATGGCCTGCTTTCCAGCCATTTTCAATACAAGTGAAGTGACTGTGCACTGTGATATTTTATTACAATAATGTGTAAAATCACACGTTTATAGCTTTTATAATGTTGATTATTATTGCTTGGATGAGAAATGAAGCAGCTTACTACTTAGTATTTAGGTTAGTGCTGTATGTACTGTCATGTTACTGTTTACAAAACAATGTGTGACATATTTCATTCTTCAAGTTGTTAGCAGGTGTTCAGTAATATTTCTAACACTTATCAACATGTTTTATATTTATTTTCTCAGCTGGAGTGACTGGCGTTCTGCCCACTGAGATCTTCAATCAGACCGCTCGGCCTGCAGCCTACATGATCGCTGGCTCCATGATGTGGCTCAACCTTTTCATCATTGGAATGATCTTCCCATTTCTGGTGGTCAGTCCGTCAGTCCGTCCATCCGCACACCATTTTCCAACAAACATGTGCTAACAATAAACAAGCATATTTATGTATGAAGTGTTTTGTTCCAAAAATTATACCCACATTTTGAAACAAAGTGAGCATGTTTTGGATTCATTAGGATAACAGGCAGGAAAAAGCAACATAAAATACTTGTTAGAAATGTTTTCAGAGTCTCAATCTGAGGAAGTTATGAGGACTGTCTGACAGGATGTGCATCGCTTCATCTTTGTTGATTTTGTTTCTAAGATATGGAATTTAAGTTAATGACTTACACTGAGACATACAATTAGACATTTAATTACACATGATTTAAATCATAACTCACGTCAGTCTGACAGCGTTCCTTTGCGTTTCCCTCACAGAGCGAGCTGAGTGAGTACTGCTTCGTGCCTTTCGGAGCGGTCTGCATGTTGTCTGCGCTGTTTGTCGGCCTGTTTCTGCCGGAGACCAAGGGGAAGTCTCTGTCAGTCATCACAAGTGAATTCCACAAGCTCAACTTCAAAGGCCAGGACAAAAAGTGTCCATCGCAGACTCAAGCTCAGTATCAGCTGGGTGAAGTGTGTCTTTCCACAGCCTTGTAGACAGACGTTTTCTCCTGAAACGTACAGTCGCATCTACTGTATGTCTCACTTTGACCTGACCTGCTTGAACTGGGAGAAGTCGTGTGCAGTCTGACAGTAACGGGGGAATGTTCACATTTATATTAGATCTACTATAACTCCTTTATCCGGAGTGTGTTTTCTATGGTCATTTAAAGGAATTACCTTCACGTGTGTACACTTATATTTTCTGCTACTCTGTGTACTGATTAATATGAAACAAAGCTAATTAAAACTACAGTATATTCAGCCAACTCTGTGGTAGAAAAGAAATCAGCTGCTAAATAGAAAGTGATTCAATAAATTGAAAAATAACTGGATGGTCTGCAGGAACACTTGTTCCTGCCTTGGCTGAAAAAACCTCTGAAAACACATCTGACATTTATTTATAAGGGTGTTTTCAGAATGAATGTAGAATGAAAGTGACCTTAGTAAATAAACAGAAATGAATTTTCTTAAGATATGTAACATATTTTCTTGTTTATATTAGTTATTTGTAAGATTCGCTATTGCATCATAGCTAATATTAGCATTAACAGCTGTTTAGTTACCAGTCTAGAAGACATGTTTCGAAATCAGCATCAAATTTCTTTCCTTTTCTCACTAAGAGCTGTCTCCATCAGTGGAATGCAACCCTCTTGCTTTGCTTTTATTTCTATCACTTCTTTTCTTCTACTGACGTTAGCCTGCTAACCAGCTCACCTAGGTCCGGTCGGCCCGTCTGGTCACTTTCTGATACTGAGTGACTGTAAAGTCCAGTCTGCCCTGCCTCAGTATTCTAACTTCTTGTATTGTAAACACAATGATGGCTGAAACTCTTGGCAAGACTGGTAAGTAAACAGTTTAATGCTGATGGTGGCTTTTCAGCAAAGGCAAAACTTATAAATAGTCCTTGCTTTAGTCTCCTGTTTGGGAGGTCAAAGGTCAGAATAAGCTGCACGCAGGCCTTTCTACAGGGTACTGCGCTTTTTCCTGTGTGGTCGATGCTGGACCTTGTCAATAAGAATGTATTTATATGAAAACAAAGACATGCAGTCAAGTTCACTTGCACCTTATTAAATACAAACTGTACATGCAGCATTGTGCATACCTCGTTCAGGAAACTGGTACTATGATGTTGAGCATTAATTCTTTTGAATAAGACTGAAATTAGTGACCCACTGTTTGTACATGAATGGAAAATGTTTATGTTGACTATGAAAGTCATTATTGTTTGTTTTAATGATCTGAATCTAAGCAAATAAAGTATCTTACATTAACACCATTTTTCAGATTTAATTTTCCATGCATATCATCAAAATCTCCCTTTCAGATATAATACAATGAAATAACATCACACGGTGTGATATAACAAACAGCCAGGAAGCTTTTTATTATGTCTAAGACATACATGACTGAGAAAAACACTTAATTCATTGGACCAGTCATTTTAGATTGGTTATACCACAGTGTTTGCTTTGAGTTCAGGGAGGAAGTGGTATTGTGGTGTTATTGGGGTTTGGTTTTTTTAGCTTCACTTTACAGAATAAAACATGTTTAAAACATCAAAACTGTGACACGTAAGTCCTCTTACCTCAAAATGCATCAGAGAATCACAAAGAATCAAAATGTACCAAATGTGAGACAGATTTTTGAGGAAACATGTATAAAATGATGCACAAGACATGAAGACTACAAGAACAGTTTCATTTGATGTCATGAAGCCATTAGAGCAGGGCGTCTTAGTTCAGGTTATTTCCCATTGAATAAGTATTATACAATAAAGTGATGCAATAAGCATATAAGCATATGAGATATGATGAGAATATTTTAAGTGTGACCTTTTCTTTTAACTAGTTCTCCTCATTCTAGGATAAATTGAATATATCCCATATCAGACTATGAGTGGAAATATGTGGGTTAGAGTGACAGGACAAGGAAGATCACAAAGATTCCAGACATGTGAAGCTTAATTTTGGAAAAATCCTAAAGAAATTAGCAATATGATACACAGGATAATATTTTATATATTATATTATATATTATAATTATTTTATATAATATTAGAATATTTATATTTGGTGTAATGGTGCAACCATGGAAATGTGTGAATCTTGGGCCTGTGTGTGTGTGAGTGTATTCGTGAGTGTTTGTCATTTTTCAATTTTGAAATGACAAAAGATCTACAGATCTTGTGCAAAAACAATTGTTAAACAAACTATAATTTTAAAGGGACAGTCCAGCATTTTAGGATGCACTTCTATAAAGTTCAGTTACTTTTGAGAGACAGATGAAAGAAAGGGTGATGAAAATCTCTGCATCGGGTCCTGACTTTTAGTCTCTGACAATGGCTAATCTCCAAAAATGATAGAGCCTGCAACTCCCGTAACGCAACTCAACTGTGTCTTTCATTCAGTTTATCGTTGTGTATTATTGTAAACATGATGATGAAAGTCACTCCCTAAGTAGCAGAGGCACTACTTTAAGGAGACACTCGGGGGCTAAACAACCTATATGGTCGCACAGTCTGGAGGATTTGTTGAAACATTCATTTCTAACTTCACACCTCCAGTTTGTCAGAGGCTTCCTGTTAAAAATTGTCTCGCTTAAGCGGAGCCAACCCTGATTACATCACTGTTTACATCATCAGTGTTATTTTCTTAGACTTCAGACAATTCTTCCAGGGCCGCTGAGGAAATTATCTAAAAGTTTTTGCAGGCTGAGTAGTACTTCTGTTAATGAGTCAACGGATTGTCATGTGTAAAATCAGTAGAGTGCATATTTGATGCGTCCATCTACTGCATTTACAAAGGATTATCCATAATGAATGGTGTACAGTACAAACTCCATGTGAACTCAACTCCCTTTCAGATTAAGATAATGTCTAATCAGTAGACAGAATATACTGGCAGGAAATGCTGCACTTGTGACAACCATAGAAATCAACCAGACGGACCAGGTTTAGTCTAGTACAGCAATTGGTCATCCTTATCACTCACGTCAAAACATGACAATATTGATCTCACAACATGAATGGACAACTAAAGTCTATTGATGTGTAACTTCAGGAGGCTTCCTTCATATATACTGGTCCTTGGCTCCTTCTGCAGCGAGCATCCAGGGAGCCAGTGCAGAAAATGGAAGGTGCATCAAAGAAGGTACGTGACTATTGTTACAATGCAGCGCTGTTTGTAGAAAATGATACTTTACTAGAGTAACCAATAGTATATTTGAACACTTGCATTCAGATTTCAAAATATTCTCTCACCGAGTCTTCGGAAAGAGCAAGCAATAGAAGAAGAGATATTCATCAATTTGTGCACATTTAGAAACAAACTAAATATTGGAAACACAAGCAAATACTGGAAAAAACGTGTCTGTATTTTATGTATTTGCTTGTTTTCTGTATTTGTAGTGTAGTAGTGTGAGTTACAGCTCATTGGGCACTTTATAACTTTATAATAATTATAATTTTCAAAGAGTTTAACTTTTTATAAGTCAATAGTCAGTGACAAATGAATTTTAGCAAAAGAAAAATATTTGTTGTTATATTAATCTTATAGAAAATGTTTATAGACCGCGATTAATGTAACACAATGTAACAAGAACAAGTTCTGCATTCAAAACCTTAGCTGACTAAAAGCATTTAAGCAAATGTATACCTTGTGCACAATGCCCCCTTTCAGTGAGTTGAATTATGAAGTTCACAAGGTCGCGAAAGATGATATGTTTGTATGCAGGGACTTCTATAATCTATAAACTATAATAATTAATCTATAATAATCATCATATTTAATATGTTTATTGTACATTTTGTATGTAAAATTAAAGTAACTGTAGCTGTCAGATAAATATTGTGGCATACAAAGCATAATATTCCCTTCTGAACTGTAGAGAAGAGCTTTAAAGCAGCATAACTTGAAATACTGAAGTAAAGTACAAGTACTTGAAAACTTCTGAACTTGTTCTAAACTCTAAGAGTTCTAAACAATTCATAACCTTGGTGTTTCTGCATTTATAATAAGAGGCTGAAGCTGTTAAAAGAGGTTTGGCTTTAACACCTAGTTTAACCAGAAACAAAGCAGGAATGTTGAGTATACAGTGTGACACGGTACTAAACATCACAAGGGTTAAAACAAGTGGCGGTCATGGATGTGATTATTATCATTATAATCATTAAACACATGTTGGGCCCATGCCTGTGAACCATTAAAAGAATCACCACATAGGCTACTAGCTGCCCTCTCCTTCAATGTCTAATTAACTCCTGTCCAGCTGAAAGACGTCAAGTCATTTATGTGTATTTGACACTTGACTTTTCAGCTGCAGTACTGGAGGCTTTACGTGCTGTCGCTGGTGTTGGGAATCGGTGGGTCATTTCAGTATGGGATTCAAGTGTCTGTCATCGCTTCTCCAGCAGTGGTGAGATTTAGATGCAAAGTTAACTTAACTTAACTTAAGTTAACTGTGTCAACGGGAACAAAAACCTTTTGCTTCTTACAGTCTCCTTCCCAATTACTTATTCCCTGTGGTGTCTGCACACATTCGGTGTAGTGGAGACATCTTGTTTTCTTCCTTTTATGTGCTGCCCTACTGCTAACAGTCAATAATCATTTTAAAGTGAGGCTTTGACGCTATGTTGGCCACAAGTCAGTTACAGGATGATGAACTAAATGTACCACAAGTAGAAACATAAATGTCAGCTAATGTTAGCTAATGTTAGCCACCATAAGATAGTGATCAAACCAGACCAAGTAAGGCTGTAGCAGCAAAACACTTGAGAATTTTACTATTTAACACTTTTGTTGTTATAATCATATTATTATACTGACTATATATAACTATATATAACCTTTAATTGTGATCCTGATCAGCATTTGACTCTCAAATCTCTAATCTAACAAACCGATTAACAGTAACTTTGACAAATTAACAGATGCAAAATCACCCTCATCCAATCACAACTCAGCAACTCATCATTGGTCAGGGACATAAAAATCAAGACTCTGACCTTGACCTCTCTGACCTTTCTGCAGCACATTCAGAGTTTTGTAAACTACACATGGATGTTGAGGTACGAAGCTCCGGTGGACGAGTCTGCTGACCAGCTCATCTGGTCCTTTATTGTGGCTGTGTTAAGTCTTGGAGCCTGGACCGGGGCTATTCACAGTGGCAGCCTTCCTGTCACTTATGGCCGGTGAGAGACACACACACACACACGAACACACACACACACACACACACACACACACAACATCATGGCTATATTATCTAAAATATCTGTGGGGTTAGATAAGGCTATTAATAAATAGACGACACTCAACAATTATTTTCTGACATGTTTGGTTTAAAACTCTCTGACCTGCCAAACGACTGTTTTGGAACCAAAATAACCAAGTCAATGGTTTATAAACTGGAAGCCACAAAAAAAAAAAAAAAAATACTGCCTTTGTGTTTTTCCAAAAGATTAAGCTAGATTGAAAATGTTGTATCATGTTGGTAAAACATAAAAGTTAAATTACAAGACATCATGAGATGGGCTCATAGATTGATCAGTGCAAACGAGTGTCTTTGAATTCATTTAATAAAATCTTTGGTGTATCTTTTGGTTTTTCAGGAAAAAAGCTCTATTGTTCAACAATGTTGTGGCGATTGTCGCTGCCCTGCTCATGCTCTTCAGTCGCATGGCCAAATCTTTTGAGATGATCTTGCTGGGCAGATTTCTCTACGGATATAATGTTGGTATGTTCTGATGATGTGTAGTGTGTGTGTGTGTGTGTGTGTGTGTGTGTGTGTGTAATTGTCTTTCTTATCTTGTAGTTTTTGTCAAGCTCTTGTCAGGTTTTTTTTGTCATGTCTTTTGTCTTCATGTTGTCATTCTCCACAGGTCTTGGCCTGAGTGTTCACCTCATGTATCTCGGGGAGAGTTCGCCAAAGAAACTCAGAGGTTTCCTGACTCTCACAACCTCAATCTTCATCGGCTTTGGGAAAATTGCTGGTCAAATAATTGGCATCAAGTAAGAAGTGACTGTTGGCCCTTTAAAATATAAATTCAATAATATTTATGACAAAAAAACATTAAGATAAACTGGGCAGAAAAGCAAAAACTTACTTACTACTTACTACATTGCTGTATGTAATTTGGCCTCTTATGTTTGTGCACTCTGGGTACAAATGTCATTTTAGCAGTTTATTTAGCTTTTTCACATCATGATCGAAACTTTGTCTTGTTCCAGATCAAAGTGCAAAACCTTGTTAAGCTTGTCCAACCAATTAGTCAGGATAAATGGCACAAAGTCATAATTAATTGCTCTCCCGATGTAAGCTTCTTTCCAACTCATTGTTGTTTTACACTCTTTTTAGGGAGATGATGGGGACAGAAGAAATGTGGCCTTATCTCTTGGCTGTTAGTGGTCTTCCTGCCATCCTGCAGTTTGTGACCCTACTTTTCTTCCCTGAGGCACCTCGATACCTTTACATTGACAAAGGAGATGCCGAAGGCAGCAAAAGAGGTGAGTGGACGGTGCTCTCTGATTCTGCATCTCACATTGGATTATAAAATTTACAAAATTAAAAATGAAAATTTTAAGTTTTAATAAAAGTCATAGAGGAGAGTTTGGGAATTCTGATGAAAAGGTTTCTGTATCATTAACCCCCAAATTATCACTGATCAAAGTGTGGACTTGCAAGGAACAGCTATATACACTGTTGTATTTAAGTACTCAGACTGATACAGTGAAAGTAATAACAGTGATTCCATAATGATGATAATAATGCCACAGATTAACTATAGCTTTTGAATGTCTTTATGTGTTCTTTGTGTTGTGTGTAATAGCCCTGCAGTGGTTGTGGCAGGAGGATAACTTAAAGCTGGAGCTGGACGACATGCAGAAAGAGAGAGAGAGCACACAGGGAGAGAAGGTGAAGACGGTGAAGGACGTACTGAGCTCTCGCTGTGTGAGATGGCAGCTGCTGACTCTGGCCATCCCCTGCGCCGGTGTTCAGTTCTGCGGCATCAATGCTGTATGTTCATTTCCGATAACAGAAAAATATACATCTGAGAGCTGTTTTGCATAGTGTGTTCTAGTTTGCCCTAATTAAATGGCTTCTCATCTTCCATTGTCTCATTCAGTTGTACTTCTATGCCTTTGACATCTTCCGCGAGTCAGGAGTGCCAGAGGACCAGATGCATTACTTGGCCATCGGTCTTGGAGCAACAGAGCTCATCACTGTAACCCTCTGTGTAAGTAATTATTTAAAGTGGAAAGAAATTGAATCATGAAATTACGCTGGCAATTCAAGGATGATAACAAACAGTTTAGATCTAACAAGCCCTTGGTCCCCTGAGGAGTGTAATAATCTGGGTTTTAATTTTGAATGCACAAACTTTTGCAGAGCTCAGTTTACGATAGTGTACACATGATGTAGGTCATAATAATAAGGTGGAAAAATAATATCCAGTACTTCAGTAACATTCATTCCTACAATACTATTACAGTACTACTCCTTAAAAAAAATCAAAGTAGAGAGGCACAGAAAAGACTGGGAGAGAAGCGTCATGCACAAAGGTTCAGTAAGCTCCACCAGCAAGTACAAAAACACACAATAAAAACACAAAATAGAAATGGGTTAATATGGAAAAACAGTTCATTTTAGGAAAAAACACCTTCTATTTACTATTTTTCCATGGTCGCTGGAATAAAAAAAGAGACACTGTTGTGATAAAGAAGTAAATAAGCAGCTGCTGCTTCGCATGATTTGTAATACATCATCTACATCTGTGTGTCAGTCCTTCTTGATAGATCGTTCTGGCAGAAAGAAGCTGATGGGCTATGGCTATCTATTGATGGGTGTCACCATGTCTCTACTCACTGTCATGCTGTCCATCAAGGTAACTGTACTCCAACACTGCACACCTCCTCCCCTCTGTCTTGTACAGGAAAAATTATAAACGCTTGTCCTTTCACGCAGGATCTGAATTCATGGATCCCATATGTGAACATCGGCCTGATCTTTTGTGTCATCGGCATTTATGGACTTGGACCTTGTGAGTTTTCTGTTGCTTGTCCTTGTCCTCACAATTGAAAAAATAAGATATTAGTCACTCAATTTTGATCATGCTTATTGTTTTACCTCTTTTTTTTAAGCCGGAGTGTCTATGGCTCTTCCTGCTGACCTCTTCCTACAAGCCTGGCGTCCTTCTGCTTATGTGATCAGTGGGACGATCAGCTGGCTCAGCATGTTCCTTGTGGGGATGTTATTCGGCTATATAGTGGTGAGATACTGTGCATCGTGTCGTCTATCTCTTAATCTATATACTGTGTTTATGCCACCTTGCTGTTAATTTAACACAGCCTGTTTCTATGTGTTTCCATACAGGATGGACTTGGGCAGTTCTGCTTCCTGATTTTCGTAGTTTACTGCTTTTTAAGTGGAGCATTTCTGATTCATTTTGTCCCTGAGACCAAAGGAAAAACAATGGTTGAGATTATGGAGGACTTTAACAAATTGAATTACAAGAACAGTGGAGCCGACATTGAAAAGACTAAGGATTGTCTTACAACTAAATTATAATTTTATTTTAAATTTTTTACTTTATTTATCACTTTTCTGTCATTTTTTTTAATGAACTTTTAAGTAAGAATCTTTCAATTCAACACTAAAATGTATGTATTTCAGGGACCAATCTTTTCATTAATTGTAACTTATTCTACACAAACAAATGTGATACTTTCAGTTAACACCAGAAATGTTTTAGGCAGATCATATACACTCACCGAGCACTTTATTAGGAACACCTGTACACCCGCTTATTCATGCAATTATCCAATTCGCCAATCATGTGGCATACAAATTACAATACACAATACATAAAATCAGGTAGATACCTGTCAGGAGCTTCAGCTAACGTTCACATTAAAAATCAGAATGTGGAAAAAATGTTATGGGTTTGAATATTTCTGAAACTGCTGATCTCCTGGGATTTTCAAGTGCAACGGTTTCTGGAGTTTTTACTCAGAATGGTGCAAAAAAACAAAAAAAACATGCAGTGAGCAGCAGTTCTGTGGACAGAGGAAACCTTGTTGATGAGAGAGGTCAGAGGAGAATGGCCAGACAGGTTGGAGCTGACAGAAAGGCTGGGGTAACTCAGATAACCACTTTTTCCAACTGTGGTGAGCAGAAAAGCATCTCAGAGGCAGACGGGCTACAACAGCAGAAGCACGTCAGGTTCCACGCCTGTCAGACAAGAACAGAAATCTGCAGAGGCTGCAGTGTTGCACAGGTTCACCAAAACTGGACAGTTAAAGACTGAAAAATTGTAGCCTGGTCTGATGAATCTGGATTTCTGTACAGTTAGAATTTGGTACCAGCAACATGAGTCCATGGACCCAACCTGCCTTGTCTAGACAGTCCAGGCTGATAATGGTGGTGTGATGGTGTGGGGAATGTTTTCTTGGCACACTTTGGGTCCCTTAATACCAACCAATCATGGTTTTAAAGCCACAGCATATCTGAGTATTGTTGCAGACCATGTGCATCCCTTTATGTCCATAATTTACCATCTTCTAATGGCTACCTCCAGTACGTTAACGCACCATGTCACAAAGCAAAACTCAAACTCAAACTGGTTTCATGAACATGATAGTGAATTCAGTGAACTCAGTGGCCTCCCTAGTTTTCCAGAATTGAATCCAAGAGAACATCTTTGGGATATGGTAGAACAGGACATTGGCAGCACGAATGTGCAGCTGACAGATCTACAGAAATGATATGATGTTATCATGTCAACGTGAACCAGAATCTCAAAGAAATGTTTCCGTCATTTTGTAAAATCGATGCCACAAAGCAATGAGGCTGTTTCAAGAGCAAAGGTTTCTAATGAAGTGCTCAGTGAGAGTACACAGATATAGGGACATGAAGAATGTGAATACTGTATATACATGTTAACATTAAAAATAAAACATTTGTACATCTAAATACCGTCTTTACTTTTAATTATTTACCTAAAGCATGGGAAATTGCGGTATACAGTATGTATGAAATGTTTAAATGACCTTAGTTGTTGTAGTTGTTTGTGTTAATCTCTCGCTCTTAATAACAGCTCTAGACTTACAATTCAGTTATTTAATTTGAAATTGGTATTTACTACAGTAAATAATAGAATTTGAGTATTTTATTATTTTAACCAACATGAAACAAAGCTTAATCAAAACTACGAGGATATAATTTTCTGACTGACTGTGGACATGATGGTAAAAAAGAAAATTGTCTGCTTTAAATAACAGTACATGGGTTAAATAGGCTAAACACTTGTTCAGATTCTTATCCATCGCACAATTGCATCAGGGAGGTGTATGATCATATGATGATAAAAATGGTCCCAAGAACAAGGAGATGGTCTGGCTGCCACAGAGCCCTGATCTCAACATCATGGAGTCAAAATCCACAGAACCAACTGTGGCAAGAGCTCCAAGTTGCTTGTGACTATAGACTGAATATGACCATAGACTGTAAATAAAGATGAATTTAGCCTCCATGACATCACGTATAGGTTTCTGAAGAGAGACGCCAGACAGCTAGTGGCTAGCCAACTGTCATGGCACCATCCTGTCACTCAAAGCGGCCACGGCCTCAATTATGCATAAATTTAATCCTCATTAAAAATGAAAGGGGCGAGTTATATAAAAATTCTATAACTATATAAAGTGACACATGGAATTTAAATGCTATAATGTGCATGTCAGTAAAACAAAGAACACATGTAGTACCCTTCAGAACTAGTTCTATAGGCTCTGATTACAGGACAAGAAAGAGTCTACAAAGAAACAAGTCATTTAATATATATTATATCTTATGAATTGGAAACTTTAAATCGTCTATTTGTGTGAATGTGTTAGTTTGAAAGCATGTAAACCTGATATTTGTTTCAATGTCTACCACCAATAATTCTGAGACAAATATTAGGAGCTTTTTCAATTGCAATTTATTTGATGCCCATCTCTGTACCAACAAGAGATGAGACCCAATAACAGAGTACAAAAACAAATATCTATAGAAAAGTATGCTTATATTGAAATATGTCCAAAGACCTTATAACAAAACATGTAGCTCACGTTTTAAGAGCAATCTTGTTGAGTACGATGATAAAATACCAAGTTAACATATTGTACATTTTCTGTGTGTTTTTATACAAAAGTGTCAATGCAAGTCACTCTGTACAATTATCAACTTTTAGAAAAGAGGACCTTTTTTAATCCACTGCTGTGCACAATCAGTATTTGGAAGGCACTTTGCAACAGACCAAAAGCAGAAAGCAAAAACATTTAGGCCTAAATTATCCATGAAAACTCTTTTACACTTGAGTACCAACATGAGTGAAACAAAATCATACATCCCAGTGAAAACACTCCTTCCCGACAGTATCTTCCACTTGATTTCAAATAATAATAACAACAACACAACCCTTATTACCTTTCAAGGAGGAAATACTAGTGCAGAGTGGATCAAAAAAGGAAAAACAAAGACAAAAAAAAAAAAAAAAACTTGGTCAAAGACGTGAGTCGTGCAGCTGGCAGTGTGAGCGCTACCAGAGCAGAGTGACAGTACGGTGACCAGTGAAAGTATCACTGCCACCAACCAGTGATCGACATTCAGTCCCCAGCTCAGCTCGCATGCCAGAACATGCAGTTTACACTCAATCAAAACGGCCATAACTTAACACCCCTCCACATAACAGACAAAAACAAAAATCTATATATGTACAGGACCACCATTGACAAACACTGATCATATTGGTTCGTTCATATATATTTATATATATATATATATATCTATAGAATGTGTATATGAATGGTATATACACTTGTTACAATCACAATAAAACCATAAATAATATAGGAATGTACTGAATTTAACAGACTAAATTAATAACAAATAATAATTAAAACAAAAAGCAGGAAACACAGATCAAACACAGAGACAAAAACACACAGAGAGCACATGTATACACTCTCTTTTTAGTCATCAACACTCACCCATCCACCCACACACATACATACACACACACACACACACACACACACACACACATACACATACATACATACATACACAAACAAACCGCTAGCCCCTTCACTGTTGGGAGTTTTACAACAAAATGAAACAACATCAACCTGTGAAATATATATTAATCAGCTGATGAGTGTGTTGTATGAGAGTTCCTTATGACATCCAATAATTAAATCTTATATTGTGTACTTTGCAATTGTGTTTTTCAACATAGTGTAGATCTGTTTGAATATATACAAAACCAAGAGGGAGTACTGTATGTCATGACTGTGAAAAGAATCAGACTTTTTTTATTCTTTAAAATGAAACTTTCATCCTTTCAATCCATTAAATTAGAAAATAAATGGGCAACTATTTATATAACAGAAAAAAAGCCAAACATTCTCTGGTTTCAGTTTTTATAATAATAAAGTTTGCTGCTTTTCTTTGTGTGACAGTATACTGAATATCTTTGGGTTTTGGACTGTTGGTCATACAGATAAAGCAAATTGAGTGAGTTGTGTTTTTTAACCTAATCTAACTGTTTGTTTTTTTTTGTCGTTTTTTTTTTAACATGTAATGGACATGTTGATTCAAAATCTGCAGATTAATCAATAATGAAAATAATCAGTTAGCTGCAGCCCTTAACTGAATTTAACTCAAATTATATACTTTCTTTTAATCAATAACTCCCTATTGGGTTTAAGTATAAAAACTGTTCAATTAAGTTTCAGAGGAATGTCTTGGACTGCACAGTTTGAATTAAACACTTTCACTGTAAGAAACCAAGATGGATAGCTTGTGCCTTAACTGAGCAGCCATTAATGCAAACACAAGCTGTGTCATCTACACATCAGCACAAGCAACTCTGATACTGCGGTGGGTGGTGGTGGGAGTGGTGCTAGTGTGTGTGGGGGGGTGGTCAATACAAGACGTGAACGTGATGAAGATGAAGAAACACTGGAGAATTAAAGTGAGCTTAATTACTTGACTCTGTAAAAGTTGCATTACGTTTGGTCGGTCCAGAGGCTGGTAGATCAGGGTGTGAATCCTTTCTCTAACCCCTTAACTGCTGCACAACACACACACAAGAAAAAAATCCACAACTCCATTTAACATAATTTAGAGTGAAAAATTACCAAAATGAGCAAATCACGAGATTTTTGTTTGACTATTAAAAAAAACTGTACACAAAAATGAGGGCATGAATAAGTTAATAAAATATAATTTACATTTCTCAAAATATATACTGAAAATATACCTGACCTTGGTCCCTGTTTAATACCTAACAAACAATACTTGGAAATATTGTCATTGTCGGGGCGTGCCGGGGGGGGGGGGGGGAATACAAAGCTAATTCCCAACAAGCTCAAGGCATATTTCAAGACTGATTTTGACTCAAAATTTATGTTGACATGATAAAAAACAAAGAAATTTCATTTCAAAAATATTCCTTTACACAGTATAGATCACAATAATAAATGGCTTTCCTCTCCTTACTTTTGCAGTTTTTCATATGAATAATTCATTTTACAAATCATCAAATCAAAAAATGATGATGGGCTTTTCACATCCAAGTGAGCTGCCAGTAGATTTGCACATCTTGTCAGCTGTCACATCAGTGTACCATTGCTTTCTGGTTAAGATTCACAACCACTTGGGTTAATGGTGAATGGTAACAATCCTCAAAGCCAGGTGGCTTTATCAGTATGACTGCACTTCAAGATTGGATCTTAAAAATACTGAGAAAAAAAAGCTTAGGTGCTATTGGGGCTTTAAATACATTTTTTTTTTTTCATTTCTGAACTATGACTTTTTTTTCTTTTCTCTTAATCCAATGAAGTTAGCAGAAAAATTAAGCTTGATTAAGCTATGATCAACAAAGCACAATGGTGTTAATTTCTTATGAGGTAGCTTAATTATTCATTTGTTTTAGGTGAGATCCTTTTTGGCAGCTTTTATGTTGCAAACTGCGCTTGGTGAATGCTGTAACAATTCAAATTTTGAGTTTTAATGACCTGTTCAAAAGTGCTTCTTAACTGTCTGTTGTCGACTACAATCCTGTCATTAGTAATTTCTTAAGCTTGTTTACAACTATCAGTGCTACTCAGCGGCCTTTAAACTGACTCTTTTTGTACAAAGTTGTTACTTAATAATAATAAAAGTGATGAATATGCCGTGGGCCTGTTGGGAATATTGTAAGTTATTCACAATTAACAGATTCCAAACAAAACCTGCTATCAAAATTGAGGCCAATTTAAATCCCTGTCCTTAAGAAAAACAAAGTCCTCTTAAAAAGACACAGAACAACATAAATACAGAACTCAGCCCTCTTGTTGCTCTGATGTAAAGATGTCTGTCTACAGCCTTTAGGGGAACAAGGAATATGAAACATTAAAAATTGTTGTAATGGCCAAGGGTTGATTGAAGTACATCAGAGCAGTTAAAGTGGGCAACAGACAACACATTTCTCATTTTAAGAATGCACTAAATAATTCATCTCATGTCAAGAACATATGTGCAGCTAAGAATAACACACAAGCCAAAATCAACTGAAAGCCTACCAAACATAACTTCAACAGATCCACGTCAGATAAAGGAAATAAAACCTTCATGTAATTTCTTTACAGAGAAAATATAAACACCGTTCACTTTTCATACTCTGAAAAAGTAGAAAAAGTAGGAATCGTATGGCGGTCTCTGACAAAAATATTGGATACACATTAAGCAATGTGACAAACAAAAAAAGTAGTCTTGAGGCAAAGATATTCCCAAATACAGAGCATCTTCTGTGGGCAACCCGGCTTTGTCCAACAAGTGAGAAGCTTTCTTACAACTCTAGAAATATGTCACTTCCCTCCAAAGTCCAGTCCACTTTGACCTGCCTCAGCATCTACCAGTGAGGAGGCAAAAGCAGACTGGACAATCTGAAAGCCAAAGGACTCGAGCAGAGACATGTTTTGTTGAGGGGAGAAGGGAGAGGTCAGGGACGGGGCCAGCTCACTTAAGCCGGACCCTGAAACCCCCTGGGCCTTCTGGGCTTTGTGAACTCTGTGCTGGTGCTTGTTGAGGTAGGACTTGGTGCGGAAGGCCTGACCACAGATCCCGCAGGTAAACTTCTTCTCAGGGTCCGTCTTGGCTTTGGATCCCTCTGGGGACCCCAGTGACCCGGCAGAGGCTCCGTTACAGGCTAAAGAGGGCATCTCGAGCTCCGGCCTATCAGGTTTGTGTGGAGATTTAAGCTCATCACCGTTGGGCAATTCTCCAAATGAAGGATCTGATTCTTCGGATTCCAGATGAGGACATTTCCCAGCGTTTTCCTGTCCGTCTGAGGTAAACACCATATGGAGAGGAAGAGGGTATTGAGGAGGGAGAAAAAAGGGGAAATGAGAAGGAAGAGAACCATCTATTAGCATAAACAGATCATAAAACAGGTTTTGTCAAATACATCTTTAATCCAGTAGCTGGCTGCCACCTGAAAAAACTTCAAGTATAAACATCAGGTGTTTAGTGACAAGGTAACAAGCACAATTGGAACAAGTTGTGACAATTGATTTTACACATTAATAACTCAATAGGGTAAAAAAAAAAAAGAGTTCCTTCAAAAAAGTGGCATAGCATTAAACCATACTATCGTCTAGCTCAGTCCATTTGCCCAGTGTCCACTGAGAATTGTGCTGTGCTCATCCAACCAGTGGGCCATGCTAGCACCATGCCCCCAACCCACCCTCCTGCTGGACTGTACTGACCTGCAACAGGCCCATGGACGGGGAAGCCAGGAACCCCACCAGAGCGACACTCCCAGAAATATGGAGTCCCACCTGGCTTCCCCATGAGCAGCTCAGGCTGCAGGCCCAAGGCTGGAGTGCCAGGCTGGGGAAGAACTGGGTGTCCAGAGAGCCCATGAAAGCGCCCCTCTGCCTCAGACGAGGTGAGAAGCAGCTGGCGACTGGCGCACAGGTCTACACGACACCCGGCCAGGGAGAAAGGAAGGGGGGAAGGACAGACATAACAGGCCGGCGGAAACCATATGGACAGAATTACCTTCATTTCATTACTAGTATTTGAAATGCTGTCTGTAAACACAGTATGTTAGACAGGTTTACTAGTATGAATGAATCCATGCTGAGTGAGTCCCATCACTGAAGCTGTAAATGATGAATGAGTTAACTTTTTCTTCTTTTGCCTTTCAGAAAATATCAAATCCCTGAACTCAGTGACTTGTAATGTAAATAATTATCAAAAATAATCAACTAAAGAAGTTGATGTTTGTGAAAACCACGCTAAATGTGAATCATCTATATGACTAACAAGCTACTTTTATCAGATAAAATTACAAAAACTGTGTGCCATTTGAGTACAGGACTTTCTCACATTGGACATTTTGACTTATTGATCACAGGTGTAATTAAAAACACACTTAACTTAGGTGCAAAAAATGGCACTCTGCTATTACACAATGCTGGCTCATCATTAATGTGATAATGTTATTAGTTACACTTGTGCATCCTGTTGTGACATGATAGAATATCCCTGTGAGAAAAAAAGCCTGTACTGTGTATAACAAAGTATAATGTTCACACACACAACTTGCTTGTGTCACATATTGCATGACACTAAATGAAGACTACAGTGAAAACTGCAGTAAATATAGTGACAGTACACATTTCTGGCCATTCCAAGAGGAAATTATATTTTCAGCTTTTTCTACTCATATAAGTGAATCAAATCATTTTTGCCACATCATGTGAGTTCTGAATTCATTTCAGGTTAAGCACTGTTCTTTACTACTACTCACATAACCGCCTTTCTGTGTCAGTTATTACCTTTACAGGAACCTTAGAGGAACTACAGGAACTTGACTCAGAGACTTGCTCAGCAGCACTTTGGCTACCAGTTACTTAGCTGAAAACAGACAGGTGACAGTCAACCTAGCACAAATTCAAATTGTTGAAGAAAAACACTCTTATGCTTATGCTTGTGCTCATTGTACAGGAGGTTTGTTAATTTAGTGACACAGTATAGCAGAAGATAGGAATTGTAGGAATTGCCAAAACCAACCAGGTAAGTCTCATAATTCTCACAACTTTAGAAAAATTTGCGGAGAAAAAAGAGAAATCTGCATTAACCATAATATACTCAAACAAATGAACCAGAAAAATTCTGCCAAAATGGCACACAAGGTAAACAACTAATCATTTGATCTTGGTGAAAAACTACGTGCAAATATTCAACAGCTACCCTGTTTTTAACACCTCTCTCATTTCTCTTTGACAGACTATGATATATACAGATATTTTCTGCAATAAAAGTTCCCATTTTGTGACTTCACTTGAAAGGATATTTATCACAAATGCTTCACTTAATTTTACAAATGGCGAATAAACACATACATAGCCTGCTCTTGTTCCCTTTTTCATGCTTACTGTTCACCCTATTCAATACTGGAAATGAGTTAGGAAAAGGCTTTTAGGGGGAGTTATGTATATAATTTGTTGACTATATATTCCAATAACTCAACAACAAAAACTCAAATACAAAATGTGATCTTGCCACACTTCATGTCTTTATCAACAGACCTTGGGACGGAAAAACATGGTGATGCAACTGAACGCTAATGTTAATAATAATAATGATAATAACAACCAACTTATTGCAAACGTGATCCAGATCAGCAAATAACAATTGCATTCTGTTAAACTCACTGTAGGACTGAGTAGGAATATATAGTACCGCTTTAAAATGGTTCTCTTCATACCTGTTAAACAGGAGGTTCTGTGTCTTTTGCCTGTGTGATGTCAAAAAACTGTTTCTGCAGCTTAACTCAAGCAAAACAGCAATGGGTGTAACTGGTTCCCAGCACATACCAAAACGAATCCTGCCATCTGCTGGTTCCCTGTTGGAATACACAGCGCACATTACTCCTGTTGTAAAAGAATCTTGTTGTTTGGTTTGATAGAAACTAAAGCTTTGAGCAGCACACGTCACTTGTGCGGTCTAGTTTTTATCATCTTAGAAATATTTCCAAAATATCATCTATTTTATCTTTCAAAGTCCCAGAGACCATTGTACATGCTTTCATCTTCTCGCCTCGACTATTGCAACGGCCTTTTCACCTGCCTCAACCAGAAACCTATTAATCGGATTGGACAGAAATGAGCCGTCTGGCTTTTAACAACATCCAAGAGAAGTGACCGCATAGTGCCTGTTTTAGCCTCCTTGCACTGGCTCCCAATGAGTTTTAGAATTGATTTTAAGATCTTACTGTTGACATTTTAAGCTCTTCATGGCCACTCTCCATGCTATATATCTGACCTGTATGTCGTATATGAGCCAGGATGTAGCCTCAGATCCTTGGGTAGAGATCTTTTATCTGTTCCTTAGGCACGGCTAAAAACTGGAGGTGACAGAGCATTCTCAGTCAGAGCCCCAAAGCTATGGAACGAGCTGCCTGAGGAAATCAGGTCAGCTGAATTAATGACCTCTTTTAAATCTCTTCTTAAAAACATACTTTTATCAGAGCTTTTCCTTATTTTACTTGATTCTTATTGGCTGCTCTTTTGCTGGTGACAATGTGCTTGGTTTTATTTGCTTATTACTCTATCGGAAAATGTTTTTTAATGATCTGCTTGTTATTGCCTTATGTGATGCACTTTGTAAAGTGTGTTTACAACGATGCTCTTTAAAGATTATTATTATCATCATTATTATTAGTATAATAACTATTATTATTATTATCAAAACTACCACCTATTACACTGCAAATGCACTACTCTCAGTTATTAATTATTTTGTCAGTGCCAATTAAAAATTAAGAGAGAAAATTATTTTGTGCTGTTTATTCTGCCAATTGTGTTTGTGGCTCAAAGTTTGCTGTGCACTGTCTCTATGCTACTGGTTCTCCTACAAAAATGGCACATCGACAAAAGTTTCAATGAATCCAGGGCAAATGGAGCACATATTAGGACGATCATGCAACACTGTGCATTGCTGAACAACTGCTGATGGACCAGCCAAGCAGGAACAGACACTGTTAACCATATGCTGCCATGGCCATGCTGGACAGACACACACACATACAAAAGCAAAGGTGACTGAGCACTCCACATTCTTACGTTGTTATGAGTAAGAACTGTCAACTATAAAGTCTACAAATGTCGACGTGCTTAATTGCTGTATGCGATGATCGAAAATTTAACCACATTACAGACCCAATTTCCAGCTTAATAAAAGCTTAGTCTTCAATCTAAGTAATCATGTGTTTTAATAGAATATGAGGACACACAGGAACAGGCATTCCTACTTGTCAAACCACAGACATGGTCATGATTTTCACAGTAGTTTCAGATCTGTAGATTGTATGTGAATTTAAGGGCTGTCTGCCTGTCGACACGCTGCACGTGCTTATTATGGAAAAGCGTGTCCACCAGCCATTTCTGCAATCCTGACCTTTGACAGGAGTCAATGAAACTACTGTGAGCTTCTAAAGTTTTCTTGCTGCTGGTTGCACGAGCTGTCCATAAGGTCAAACTTAGCCTAGTTCTAACGTAAGGTTTTCCTAAGTAGTTTTATTCTACTAAACTGAAATGGGTTGCACCACACAAACTAGTTCCTATGTAGAGATCAGTTACTAAATATTTTCACCCAGTAAGGGTGTAACTGAACCAAAGGTGCCAAAGGTTACATTAGCTTGGTAATATATGATCAGTTAAGAGCAAAGAGTAAATAGATAATATGAAGTATGCTTGACATATCTGACCTAAAACTTGATAGATACTGTTTAATTATGTCTGTCTTAAAGATTTTAAATTACATTTCACAAAAATGACATACTTCCAATTTTAACAAACATTATGCCAATAATATGTAACGAAACAAATAGGCTAAATAATGAGTTAACAGAATCTTATGTTTCCCTCTCAGTCTAAAATGTATGAAAACTATTAACTCTGAAACACAGAGATTTCTCCATGCAGACATAATAAAACAAAGTAATACCTACATTTACAAAAGATATCTGTTGAGCCTCTAAAACTGTAATTTTTGGAAGCTAGTTTTGATAGTTAGCTTATGATGCTACAATGGCTTTTTGTTTACACAGTTCACTGCTCTTGATGGGACAGTGCTGTAGATGTTTCCAAGGAACAAATACTGAAGTCTTTATTAGCTAAGACAGGTTTTAATGGTGCAACCTGATTAAGTCAATTCTTGGTTCGAAACTAGCTAGTAGTTACTAGACAATAACAACGAAAAATGTCCTCATTGAGGTATGCAAATCTTCCAGTTGTTTCCCCTCTACCCAATTACCACATAGAGGTTTTGTATAGACTGCCATCTCTTAATAAAAGACACCCACAATTAGCTAACAGAAAGACAACCAGCAGATGAAATAGCACGATAGACGTTTGAGGGAAAAGCTTGGCAGCAGAAGTTGATGTATGCTTGTGTTTTAAACATACACAGAGATGCAGCAGCATGTTTCTCCAAAAAGCAGCAGAGTACATGAAAGCCAGAAACATGGAAATTTGGGATGGGGCGGGCGGCTGCTTGCCTTCCACTGAGCACTGGCGTCCCATGTGGTAAGGGGTGCCGTTGTGCATCTGCAGTCCCCCCCTTGGCTCAGGGAAGGTGTGCATTGTGGCAGAAGGGGGCAGTGGAGAGCCATGGTGTGTCTTTATATGCACCTTAAGGTAGGACGCAGTGGAGAAACCTGGGACCAGAAGAACAAAGAACAAGGCAGTTGTTTGACACACTCAAAGCCTTGGCTAGGAGAGGTGCGTCCTGTCAACAGGGACAGGCTGTCCAGTGTCAACCTTGATGGATTTGGAAACATGATCAAAAGTGGTGAAGGACTAATGGTTAATCAGGGGGTAGTTCAATTAATATCCATTTTTTTGAATTGTAAATCACAACAGTGAACAGCATCACAATATCTTAAGCAAAAGTACCGCCACAAGCAAACAGACTATTTCTATTTGAATGCCCTGGGTCCTACTTCATCCACACAAGGAACATTATCAGCAACAGAGTACAGACATTTTAAAACAAAGTGTGATCCAAACTGTAAAGAGATGTTCTTATTGAGCTAATAACAATACTTCAACCCTTGATTCACCCTGATTGCCAATTTATGCACCTACAGGTACAAAAAACAAAACAAAAACACTATACTTTCACTAGCCAGCCATCTTACTTTGAGAAATAGAATTATTAATTAAAATATACGTATGTATATATATATATATATATATATATATATATATATACATATACATATACACATACACACTTGTAGAACATTTTTATGAAAACTATATGTCTTTTGCAGTTGCGCAAGAGCAACAGAGCGATGAGTCACATTATCACTGCTATCAAACACCAAACCCGCCTGTGATGCTGTGTTCAGATAGAAAATACTACTGCATCGATGAAGTGCAAGGGAGGGCACAAGGTACTGGTGAGAAGATGAAATATGAACCAAGGTTCAGTTTGACCACCGAACGAGCATACTACAACACCATTTATACTCCTTTGAGGTGTTATATTACAACTCTTTTGTTGCTGTTGTTCTCAACCTCTTTGTGAAAGGTAAACTGCACAACATACTGAATCTGGTATATGCATTAGCAAGTATTTGGTTGGCACACACATGGAAGCTGTACATCGCTCAACACACAGCACTGCCGACCAGAATACAGACAGCAACCTCTGAATATTTATCAGGACATGGGTCTCAGAAGAACTTGTAGAGCATGTAGTATGCTGACATTTTTTTTTTGATTACCTTTGTTGCAAATGCCACAGTAGTTATGTGTTCCTTCACTGTGTTTCTTGAGGTGGTCTGTCATGTAGGCAGCACGCAGGAACTTGCCACAAACTTTGCAGGGGATTTTGTCCTCATGGCATGCAAGGTGTGACCGGAGGCGATCTCTTGTAGCAAAAGAGGCATTACAAATCTGTAATACAGAAATCAACATGTTAACGGCTTTCTTACATGTGATAATTTAAAACCTTCATTAGCTGGGACTTTTAATGATATATTAACTCCAATACATGGAGCCTAAATGTTACCTGGCACTTGTGGGGTCTCTCTGTTGTGTGAACTTGTTTGATATGTCCATTCAGGTGGTCGGGTCTGAAAGGAGAAAAAGCAAGCCCCATCTGTGACTGAATTTCTAATATATTTCCAATAGCTAAAGATGCCTGGTGGGTGTTGACCTATTCACACAAACTGAAATGATTCCCTCTATTATGATCACATGCCTAGGGCATACTAGCCAGAATTTCATTTATTACAGTGTTACTTTACTATGGGATCAGCAGACTTTGAGGCTTAAACAAGGCTAAATTTGCTTGTTATAGGAAGCTAGGTTTAGTTACACAGCATTAATACAAATGGTGGAGCTAAGTTGCTGTCTCTATCAATCAGTCACCTTTACCCAACAGATAATTCCATTTCACAGGTTCTTTGTCAATTAAAACAGTATTTTTGCCAGAGGTTGAATTTGTCATGTGGCAATCACACCTAGACTTAGAGAGATAACAATAAAATATCATGAAAATAATAAAGTAAAAGTAAGTATTTAACTTTGGGGCAAGTAATGGTAAAATTGACTAAATGATGTACTTATGCATTTAGTAAATAAGAGGTTCCCCATCTTAAACAACAATCCATTATATATTGTAATGTATTATAGGAGCTCACAACAAAGCAGAAAAGCATAGATGTTACTAATGACATTAAGGATGGCTCCATTCTGTTCAAATACCCTATTAATCCATGACAGTGTGACAGAGAGCCAGTATGAACAATGTAAAGACCCTGAAACTGGCAGCTAAATGCAAATCAAGTCTTCTGTGAAAACAGCATATTATCAATGTCACAGATATAAATCAGTAAGAAATACCTATCTAAAAATACTATTTTTTTCTTGTATGAAGCACACCTGATGATGGGATTAAAATCACATAAATGTCTTCACCTGTAATACTGTGATGGCTCTCCCACAAAAAACCACTCTATCCCTCCACTGAGTTCATGGATTTTTCAAACATGTGACTGCTTTTTATTTATCTGTCCTGTGTGTAAACCTCCAGAGCAGTAGGTGGTGACAGCGAGTTTGTAACAGGCCCTGAGAACACTGAGCTTGGGAAACTGGTGTGTGTGGTGTGGGTACAGTGATGACAGTCACTCTGTAACAGCTCTGCAGTTGTCTATCAGCAGAAACTAAACCTGTCAATGACAACACTTTACTGTTATATTTTACACTGACTGTCACAGTAAGAGCTGGACGAGGGCTCGCAGAAAGTGGTCTTCTTAAAATTATTGAAAATACTACCCCCCTGTTTCTGTTAATGGTATCAACTCAATTTAATTTATATTTATCAAGCTTAACTAATATCCTTATTTTTGGAGTAGATCCTGAATTCAGGCTATATTATCCCTCAAAAATTCATTAACTTTCTACATCGATACATAGACTTGAACCAATCATATCAGGAAACAATACTGCAAACTGTGCATGGTGTCCTGGAAGATGTCCAGGTATTGAGGCACGTTCATTGTTTCTCCTAAACACAAAGACATGCTGACAGTGGAAATATAGCTCTGCTCACCTTGAAAAACCTTTACCACAGCTTTGGCACACATACGGTTTTCCGACTGACCCGTCATGGGACCGCACATGGTATGACATCCTGTCCTTGCGTTTGAACCGGAGCCCGCACACATGGCATGCGTACGGCTTTTCCCCGGAGTGGGAAAGCTTGTGTCGGTTCAGGTGGTAAACGTCGCGGAAAACTTTCCCGCAAATGTCACAGCCGACGTGTCGCCTGGTCCTCTCCCGTTTGCGACCGTTATCCAGCGTCAGCCCTCCGTGTAACTGCAAGCCGTTTTCCACCAGACCAGGGTGAGATATTAAAGACATACCGCCCGCCGTTGACAGGCTGTCACCGACGTTGTTTACACCGCCAGTGGAGGCTCCATGTTGCGCTTCGTGGTTCTTCAAGCGGGAAGCTTCTGTAAAAGCTTTACCGCAAGTCCCGCAAGGAAACAACCCATTGTCTTTCTGGGTGCTGTGATTGAAGTGTACAGCCTCCACCACTCCACCTGCTTTCTTTGGTCTCCCCCTGCCCCTCTTTGACCCTGGGGAGCCAGCGTCGTGATGAAGTGTGTTCCCCGTTATTTCCGTTGATGGGGAAACCGACAGCCCTTCGACAGGCTCCAACATTGGCACCGATGACTCGCCGCCGTCCTCGAGTAAAACGGCGGCGGCGTCTCCGCTCCCCTCCACATGCATTTGCGCATTGTTAGCAAAGCTCTGACCGTCCACCAGCATTCCCGTTCCGTTTACCACATCCTGCTGTGCCACCGGGAAACCCAGCTCCGTGGCGCCCGTGGCCTGGAAAAGGCTGGCGTCTCCTCCCCGAGAGGTCGGGACGAGGATCTGCACGTTGGACTGTTTGATGACCTCCTGACAGATCTCAATGACCGACCGCATCAGCAGAAACTTGGCAGCTGTCATCAACTCCGGGAAGCACTCCAGTCGCACCACGATCCTGGAGGTGTAGGCGAAGTCCAAGATGTCTTTAAAAACTTTCGGGCTGATCGTGTGCATCTCCAGCTCCTTGGCGTCGCCGTCGCCCTCAGTCTGGCGGCCGAAGACCGACTCGAAATACTCACTGCAGGCGGCCAACACCGCTTTATGGGCAGGGAAGCTCTCCTCGCCGACGCGTAAGACCACATCGCAGAACCTGCCTCCATCTTTCCTCTGAACATTGAGGTTGTGTAGCATCTCCGCACTGTGCTTGCTCACCTGGTAGGTGTACGAAGAAGTCCAAGACGGCTCCGCTACTTTCTCCATGCCGAATTCATCCAATAACGATGGTTGTTTGCGACAACGGTCGGAGGAATGGCGGATTATATATAACGATTTCGATCAGTTGATTCCAGCTAGCTACAAAATCCAAAACCAACCGCCCCTCCCCGTCGGTTTTAGCATCTAACGTTAAACGTTAGCAGTAGCAGCAGGGAAAAATGGCAGCCCCCCAGCTTCCTGTGAACTTTGACCCTGGTTTCTTGAGGGGTGGGGGTCGCTCTTGTTTTGTGAAAAAAATGTTTCTCTAGGGTTTCACACAGTAATGTGTTTTTTAAACGATTCTCTAATGACAATGGCAGTCACTTAGAGGAGTAGAAGAGCCCCAACACCGCAGGGGTCTTTCATGTCTTTACGCCAAAATGTGAACACGCAGGTCTCTTCCTGCCTGCTCTGATTGTAAAACCCCTCCCCCCACCAACCAAGCTGAAACACCCCCCCCTCCTCCTCTTTTTCCTCTCTGTCAGCTCAGTCTGTAAGCACGGTCAAGACACATGTAAACCATTACACTGTACTAGTCGCTTCAGGTGAGGTCTGGCTCAACTACTAGACAACGAAGAAGTACCCGTGAAATTATATACAAACTAGAGAGGACGCTCATGAAAATGTAAACTACCACCATCTGTAGAAATACTGCAGTTTTATGGATGATTGTCAGTGATTGAGAATCGAAAAACTGATTAATACATTTTCAGTTTCTAAATGAACCATTACCAAAAGTTAGTCAATCACCTTTAATTTTTAAATGGTAATAAATCACGGGTTCAACAATCAATCAAGTCCCTAGTTGTAAATGTTAATAAGCTGTTTGTAAATTGATTTTCTTTTATTCTCCTTATGTACTGCACTAATGATAAACAGTCCATTAGAAGGGGCTCCCTAGTGGATTAGAGTTTACTCAGACAAAAGTGTTGGATTTCAACAACTTGGCAACCCAAGAGTTATTAGTGGTGGCTTATAACCGATCAATGTAGTATGAGTAAATTATTAACATTAATCAAACCATTAACTACAGCTTATAAGCCCATTATAAATGGTGCCCCATCAGAAATTGATACAGAAACTTTATTGAAAATTTAACTTGGCCACCACTTACCATGGCATCTTGAAAATAACCAGTCGAATCAACACCTCTCTGAAAGCGCCAACAAATACTGAACACCAACAGTTTTAGATTTGAGATTTTCAGATTTTTTTTTTTTTTTTTTTTTTTAAGTCAAACTGTAAGGATCCATTAAATGTGTTTAAGAATTGTGACCAAGATGTGAATTTTAAATTTTTAAATAGTGGACAATATTTCTTAACAACCTCAAATATTACATCACTGCTGTGTCTTGAAAATTATTGGCCCACATACTTGCCAGTGCCATAATATCTGCAGATACACTGGCCCCGGCACAGACTCAGGCTGTACCAAAGAGACAGGCAACTCAGTGTAAATGTATTATGCTGCACCACCATAACAGTGCTGAATATCTTTACATATATGCAGTTAATCGCACTTCTGTTGTACAAATGTTTTGGATGAGATTAGACAACCTACAAATCAGCATTCAGTATTTTCCCTTTTAAAGGTGCAGCCAATAGAGTAAAAAATAGACCTCTTTCACTTGTTCAGATTTGTATCTGTAGCAACTTTAGCAGGTGTTATTGAGGTGCATAGTGGTGCTTTACTGAACTGCATTATGTTAAGATGGATTTCATACTCTGCTTCCCTAGTGTGCAAGTTGGGTGGACAGAACATTAGAAACTCTTTTCAATCTAATACAGTTCAGTGCATTACCATCACAAAGTACGGTTGCAATGATATAGTTAATAGTACAGAGTCTAATGCAGAGCTGTTGTGTATTGCATGGCATTGTGCTGGTGTACCTAATAAAATAGCCAGTGCAAATATTCACCCAGCTTTCTATGATCATGGTAACAATACAAAAAAGGTAATATGAAACCATTTAAAATAAAATAAACAAACTGTTTTACTGAAGATTTTATTTATTAATTCTATTTGTGCTTTTTATAACTTAATCGCACATAAACTGCATCCCAAACACCCTCCAAAAACTGACAGTGTAAGCAGTGCTGTCCCTCATAGTGACAGAATGGATGGGAGAGGATACAGTTAAAGAAAAAAAAAAAAAAAAAAAAGGCACAGCCATCCCCTGGAGTTGTCCTGCTGCCCCTGCCACTCACTTCTACAGAAAAGGGCCACTAGCCATGCCACAAAGTAAAGTTTGAGTCCACACGCAAGTTACTCATCAACTCAACATTTCTCACTAGTAGTGGCCCTTTCTCAGTGCAGGTTGGGGTGGGGGGTTACGGTGGACAAGACAGAGGAATGCTACCAGCTCGTGGTGACTTCTTCTCTCACAGTTTTCAGTTTAACTGCGGGATAATATCACCTTCCCCATACCAAGTTAAAGAAACCATACCTATATACAGGGAGAATAAGATTCTTTCCCAAGGTCTGTACAATTAGGCCTATACATTTACTGCACAGAATCTAATAGAAAAAAAATTCACTCAGCTGCAAAAACATCTCCATCATTCACCTCTTCAAAAGCAGTGACTTCAAGGTTGAAGACAAAGCATGGGATGGTTAGACTTTCCAGTTCTGTGCACTGTCTTTCAAATTAAAGTTCACATTTTTCTGGTAACGAGGAGGTGGAGATGGGCAGAAAAAAAGAAAAGAAAATCTTGCTATCCAGCAGTGTTTATTTTCTTATGGCCGGAACTCCAGCTCATCTACACTTATGACCTTGGCCGGCATGGAGGGGAGTGGCTGTTCTAGCACGTCTGATCCAAACCACTTGGCTAGGCCTAAAGGGGGGCTGCCGCCGTGTTGCTGGGAGCCATTTGTCCGGTGGGGGCCTTGGCTCTGTGACTGAGGGCCTGGGACACTTGGATGTACTACAAGATAAGACAAAAACAGGAAGAAAAATCTTTTAATGCCAAGTTCTTACCCATTTAAAATCAACCCAATTCTGCTACAGTAATATAGGTTAGTAGCACAAATACCATACTATGCAAGATACAACTTGTTTTATGTATGAGGACTGTATAGTTGTGCAAGTATTACACTGAGCAGTAATATTTGACATTGCTTCCACTTACTTGGTCTCTGTTGCTGAAGTTGCTGCTGCATAACTGCTAACTGCATCTGAGTATTGGCTCTGGGAGGTAGAAGTGGATGCGCTGTCGCACTTAGAGGGTACAGCGGTTGTCCAAGCAGGGCAGGAGGCAAGCCTTGAAGTTGTGCAAGGTCAACGTGTGGTGGAAATATACCTGTGAATACAAGTCAAGACTTCCCTTAGTTCTGAGGGTCAGAGTAGTTCAATAACAAAAGCCTCAACAGTAAAAATAAGTTTTATAAAATATAAGCATGGGAAAAAACAAAAACACACACTCGAGCATATACTAACCGGCTTGCACAAGAGCAGGTCCAAGCTGCTGTGGCTGGATACCCTGTGCCAGCATTCGCTGAACCACATTAGGGTGGAGCTGGGGAGGAGGACGCACCATAGGTACATGAGATAGCAGCGGTACCGGGTATATGGGACGAGGAAAAGATGAGGATGGTCCTGGAGGTACCATGGTGGGTGTATGGCGTCCAGCGGAGCCAGGCCTGAGACGCTCCTGATCTTTGCTTGGCAAGGTCTGTGAGTTGGCCTTTACCCCACCAGACTGGGCAGCATTCCCATCCATTGCTTCCAGGTATAGATTTGGGGAACTGCTTTCTGTAATCACATAACCCAAATCTCAATGTTAGTGTTGTAGTACTTTAACCTAAGTTCAAATCAAGAAGTTGAGGACAATGGTCCATACTCAGTATGACTACAATACCACAGCTAGCGTTTATGTAAAGTGCCTCAAGTGAATAATGCAGCCAGGAGTTCCTTTTATTACACTGGTACCATGTTGTGGAACAGCCTTCTGCTACAGATCCAGCTTTTAAATATGAGAGGGGCTTATAAAAAAAAAAAAAAAAAAAGTCAGGTTAGGACATTTTTTTATGCAATAGAGTAACAGCTTTATAATGATAGCTGCAATAACACTGTCACTTTAGCTGTCCTTGTTTTTAGATGCAAGTTTTATTTTTGAATTGAGTTTTGGTTTTTATAATTGTATTGCTTAAATTTGATGTTAAATGCAGTGTACTTCTTTATGTTTCCTTGTTCTTTAACATTTTGGCACTATGTTAGAAATAAATATTCAATTTAACATGTTATCTCTTGGATTTTTTGTTTGAGGATAAATGAATGCGCTATACCATCTTGAGAATGTGCTGCTCCCTCCTCCTTGGTTTCTGAACGACCTGATGGTTCATCTCTGCTTTTCTCTTTTGTAGCGTACATTTTGCGAATCACAGATGTGGGTGTAAATGAAGGGGACAACTGTTGTAGGTAAAAAAAATAATATATATTATTAATAGTAGCAATACCAAAATGTATAGAATTTACACACAACAGTTTAAAGATTAGTTGGGTCTTTACAGGACTCTGGAAAAGAATGACATTTGGGAGAGTAAGGTTTATAATCACCATGCTGGTGACAGCATTTCCTGGAGAGTTTCTCCCAGCAGGCTGAGGACCTGGACCAGGGGAGCGATTAACACGCTGTGGTCTGTTGATCACAAGCACATCAGCATCATAATAACTAGCAAATACTAACAATACATCTTTGCTTGGGTGCATATATTCAGTGGACTAATGTATGCCAGTATCAAAATATTAACAGTGATTGAAGTGGGTTTCTTTTTAAATAAGAAAAAAAAAAAAAAAAAAAAAAAAAAAAAAAAAAGGTCAGAGAAAAACTAACATGTAACACACCAAGCCACAACTGCCATCATTTCAGTAACTAAAATTAACTAGCAAGACATGAAGTCCAACACAAATGTGTTCTTCAGAGGATAAAAAAGGTAGCCAATTAACTAAGTAGGCATTAAAAATCACATTTAATTCAGTCATTTAATGATGAATACTGTGCAGTATTTGAATATGCTTTTTTCTTTTTAAACTAACCGATTTCGAAAGGACTTATCCTGTGGTGGCTTGTTGTAGTTTGACTGGAATGAGTGGTGGGCATGTAGAGCGAGGTCCTGTTGGAACGCCAGCGCTTCTAGGTCTGCCTGATTCACTGGCATTGAGAGAGCCCTCATCTGGACAAACATAATACATACAGCTGAAGAGATCTCCAAATGACATCTAGGGAGATACTTTTATGGAACTTCTCTGCTCCACTAAAAACTGATATTATGTCAGCAGGGTGAAAACTGTTACATGCATTACAACCTCTAAATTTTCTAGGTTATATGGAGCACTACTCATGCATTCATGTTATAAAATAAGGTTCTTCAAATAGAATTT